CTTTCTTGATGATTCCTCTTTTTGATTCGGGTTTTGGAGTTTCTATGAGCCTTCCAATAGGCTTTTGCATAAAAAGGCAACAGCACGAGAAAGAGAGAGTTCTTGGTGCAAAAGCTTCAGAGTTGAGATTGATCGAGTGATAAAATTGTAGGAGGAAAGAAAAAAAGGAACTTGCAGAGGTTTTTCATTTTGGGGGGGATTTTTTCTACACTAAATAGGGCTTAAATTAGAAAACTATTTGAATGCTGTTTGTACAGCCTTTGTAGGGTAGAACTTGGAAGTGTCCATTTCAAACCATAACATTTATTTTGCTCATCTGAAGCAAACATTTGGTAGCCTAGCGACATTAATGTGATTTGGGTATTAGGGCAGATTGTATTAGTGGATAATTAATAATTAATTACATTAATTGATTTAATTAGTGAATTTTGTAAGAATTCATAATTCAGAGTTAAGTAAATAGTTGAACTCTTATGTAACGTTTGGTAGCATAGTGACATTGTTGTTTCAACATATTGTATTAGTTAGGGCCGTAAATAAGTCGAGTCGAGTTCGAGCCCATAACGTGCTAAAAATCAAGTTCGAGTTCGGCTTATTTATCAATATTAACAAGCCGATCGAACTTTAACGAGACGAACTATGAAAAGTTATATAAAATTCTCTTTTTGAGCATTAACGACTCGTTAACGAAACGAGCTTTAAGCTAGCTCGAGCTTGGCTCGTTTTAACTCACGAGCAACTCGTTTCATTTAACAACTCTAGTATTAGTTAATAATTGATAATTAATTAGATGAATTGATGTGATTAGTGGATATGGTTAGAGTTTATAAATTAAAGTTCAGCAGATAGTTGAATTTCATAGGTTATTCTTTTTGGAACATTTCTACTTAAAATGTAGTTGTTAGATCAAATAGGCTATTTGTTAAAAAATGTGAACTAACAAATTTGATTGGTCAATTCTCTAAAATGAGATTCAATCGGCTAATAACCAAACAAATCCATTATACTAATGTGCGGTTAAACTTTTGATGATATGACGATTTTTTCCTCATGATAATACAAGTAGGACCTAGGTGATGAAGTACATAATTTTTATAACTTAGCTGGTGTAATGCAATTGAGTTTAGAATCGTGCAAAAATATAATTATTCCTCTTATAACATTATATAAAATGGCAATTCACATGCAACAACTTAAGAGGTTCTTTCCTTTTTCCCACTCTGTCTAACCAGTTTTAGTAGAATTTTCATACTACTTTGGATTTTAAATTTAAATCAATCTCATAATGTATTTTAAAAATGTACATTCTACACTTATATGAATGAAAATGAAAATGCATCAGTTTGCAATAGAATTAGTTTGCAATAAATGTGACAAAACGATTTCACATTGAAGTCCAAAGATCAATGCCATTTGAGCCGCCTTATTGAGCTCCTCTGAAAGAAAATGGACAAGGCCCAAGATTGGGTGATTGAGGTCCAGATAAGTTATTGGGACGAGCCCATTATCAACAGGTCGGTGAGTGGGTTGGCTCATGGGTCATAACCTTTCTAGCGGGCCGATAATACTTTGCGACAGTAGTGCCCGAATCAACTTTGGACCAAAACTATTATTATTTATTTACACATTTTTATTTTAATTATGGGAATTGATATATTATTATTGTCATATCACATTAATTTCAACTAATATAGTTTTAATTTTTTTTTTTTTTACTTTGTATCGTTTGTCTTGAAAAAGCTTCCACACTCATATACTTGAATACTTGGTCAAATGTAGTGGATAAAAAGTAGTATCGACTATCGACACACATCACAAAATGAATGCGTGTAGTTCATTATTTCTTCAAAATCTCCTACTTTTCATCTTCACGTTCATTCAATCTCTCTCACTAAAACGGTCATAACTAACTTTTCTGAAAAAAGCAAATAAGCTCTCCATCCAATTTTTGGCCCCAAATAATAAACGCGCGAAAATTCAGCTCCGCCCATTGAAAAAACAAAGAAAGAAAAAATGAAGAATTTGAACGCAAAAACTATCCACAAACATCAACACATTGGCAAAATTACATCAAATCCCCTAAACACTATATAAACTGAACAATCCTCATTACAGAACATAAAAAGAAAAAAAGGAATTAACAAGTACATTGCCATTTAAGCAGCTTCAGTTT